TAGTGGTTTGAAAGCTTGGCATTAGAGCCAGCAGCCCAGGCAGTAAAATTAATAATAATTATTAAAAAAATCCCCAACTCCATCCATTTAAAAATTAAAAACCGCAGTCCTAAATCCATTTTTGTTCCCTACCAAAAATTGTCTTGAAAAGATTGAAGAGAATGATTTTAAGTTCTCACTTTCCTAACTGGTAATTAAAAATTGCTTCTGCATAAAACAAAGGGTGGAAAAAAATCCCATTTTGGAACGAAAGCTGTTTCCAGCTGTAATTTCCAAGCTCAGCACTGTTCCCACAGGTATCCTACAGCAATTAGCTCCTGTTAGAAATATCAGAAATATTTTTAATGTTAGAAATATTTTTAATGGTAGAAATATTCTCAATGTTAGAAATATTTTTAGCATTAGAAATATTTCTAATGGTAGAAATATTTTTAATATTAGAAATATTTTTAGTCACATCCAGTCCTGCCAAGGAAAAATCCAAAGTGGCTTTGGTTTGCTGCAGCCACCAGGGCTGGAAAACCCTGGGAGGAGGAGGAGGAGGAGGAGGAAAAGGAGGAGGAGGAGCCGTTCCAGGAGAGGGAAGTGCTCCTCGGTTTCTCCTTTTTGGAGCTGTGGTTGTAAAACCACATCAATTAGCAGAGAAATTCAGAGGCTCGAGTGCAACTTAATTCACTTTTTCTTCATGACTCTGGCTTGGGGAAGGATTTCAGAGTGCAAATTAAACACAGGAGCTGCTGCTCTGCCCTCTGGAGCTGCCAGCCTCGGGAAATCAGAGGGTCCTGGAATGTCCTGAGCTGGGAGGGACCCTCAATCCAACACCCCAAAATCCCTCCCCGTGCCTGGCAGCGCTGTCCAAACGCTCCTGGAGCTCTGGGACTTTAGGAATGTGAACATTCCCTGGGGAATTCAGTGCCCAACCACCCTCCGGAGGTGCTGTTTGGGGTATCTTGGGTTTTTTCATTCCTTGTACTCCCTAAAAGTTTTAGGAGGCAAAGCCACAAAGTCTGGAAGTCCCTCCTCCATTTTGTACCTTTTTGCTGCCATCCCATTCTGGGATGACTCAGGGCAGGGAAGAGGAGGTGGAACTTGGGGGGTTGGCTCCAAAACCCCTCCCACAGGGCCACCTCCACCAAGAATCAGCAATAATTGAGCTTGGGAAGGAGCAGATCCCACTAAATCCTGACACAGCTGTGAAACCCTTCAGGAATGGAGCTGCTTTGCTACAAAAATGGAGTTTAAGCACCCTGATCTCCCTGATTTATTCTGGATCCACACTCCAGCTCGTACAGAAGATGCGGGATCACCTCCTTCCAACCTTTTCCGTGAGAAAATCCAATTTTCACAGCTGCTCTGACAGGATTTACTGACACCTTTGCCTTTGTTTAAACCCAGAACAGCAGCAAAAGGCCCTGGGCTCTTGTAAAATTCTGGTTTTTAAAGGGTCACAGCAGTGGCTCTGAACCACACAGAGCCCTAATTATTGTGGGAAACACCAGGAGTTTCCAATCTTTACCTTTCTGTACCAAAACCTGGGAGTAAATAAGTAAAGTCCTGCCATTGCTTTGGCTCTGGGAAAATTTTCTTGCTGCAGATGTTGCAAGAAACAGGATTTATTTCCTAATAATCTGATCCTGCTGCAAGAGTTGCACTAAAAAGCTGCACTGAAGGCCTAAATTACCAAAATTCAGTGTCACAAACCCTGTGGAAAGACATTTAATTCTGATTTAATGAAAACACTGTGCTCAGTGCTACTCCCACACTGGTGTAAATATATTTAAAATGATACATTTGGGGTGTTTAATGGTAAAAGTAACTGGTCAGGGCTCAGGCTCAGCTCCTGTCCTGTGCCTCTGGCTGCATTTCATCATTTTAGGCTCCACAAAGATGTCAACATTGCCATGGCATCATCTCAGCTGCAGAAAACTGGAATTCATTTAGGAGTAACTGGAATTTGTTTCCAAATAAAATCTTTACTGGGATGAAAAACACTGAGGGAAACATTAAAGACGAGTCTGGAGGAACCAGAAATTTGTTCTTTTTAATGGCATCAAGAAGGGATGGATCTTGTTTTGCTCACAGTCATGTAATAATGGGATGGTTTGGGTTGGAGGGGCTCATCCCGTTCCATCTTCCACCATCCCAGGCTGCTCCAAACCCCATCCAGCCTGGCCTTGGGCACTGCCAGGGATCCAGGGGCAGCCACAGCTGCTCTGGGCACTCTGTGCCAGGGCCTCATCACCCTCCAGGGAATAATTCCTTCCCAAAATCCCACCTTAGTCATCCTCTGGCAGTGGGAAGCCATTCCCCGTGTCCTGTCCCTCCATCCCTTGTCCCCAGTCTCTCTCCAGCTCTCCTGGAGCCCCTCCAGGCCGTGGCAGGGCTCTGAGCTCTCCCTGGATCCTTCTCCTCCCCATGTGAGCATCCCCACCTCTCCCACCAGAATTCCCCCAGTTTTTGGAGCATTTCCACACCGCGCCCTCCCCGGGCACCCCCAGCACGGCCCCAACACCTCCCTGGACCCCCGCACCCCTGCGGGAACGCCTCACCAGGGTCAGGGCCACCTCCAGCATGGGGGCGAGCGCCAGCGTGCCGTGGAAGAGCGGGATGCAATCCACGAACAGCGCGGGCTGCGGCGGCCGCGGGGCCGGCGGCCGCTCGGCCACCAGCAGCCCGTTGACGGCGCAGTGCGGGTACTTGGCGCCGTGCAGCACCATCTTGCAGTAAGCCTGCGTGGTCAGCTTCATGGTGCCGAGCCCCGGCCGCGGTCCGGCCCGGTCCGGCCCGGTGCGGCCCCGCTCCCCGCCCAGCGCCGCTCCCCGCCCGCCGCCGAGCGCCGCCGGCTGTCGGGAAGCGCCGCCAAGCGCGGCCGGCTTTGCGACAGCGATTTGGGGTGGATTTGGGGTGGATTTGGGGTGGATTTGGGGTGTGGGAGGATCCCGAAAGTGCGGGAGGATCCCGAAAATCTGTGGGGTGGGGGTGCGGGGTGAGCGGGGAGGGCTGGGGGAGTTCGGAACCACAGGGGGGAAAAAGCTCTGGGATGGTGGGGTGGGAAATGATGTCTGGGATAATCGTGTGGGAAAAACCTGTGGGAAAAGATCTCTGGGAAAAGATCTCTGGGATCCTGAGGTGGGAAGTGATGTCTGGGATAATCGTGTGGGAAAAGAGCTCTGGGAAAAGATCTCTGGGAGCATGGGGTGGGAAAAACTCTGGGAAACAATGTCTGGGAAAAGATCTCTGGGATCTTAATGTGGGAAAAACATCTGGGATAATGGGGTTGGAAAAGATCTCTAGGAAAAGATCTCTGGGACCATTGTGTGGGAAAAACCTCTGGGATCATGGGGTTGGAAAAGATCTCTGGGATCATCGTGTGGGAAAAACCTCTGGGATAATGGGGTTGGAAAAGATCTCTAGGAAAAGATCTCTGGGACCATTGTGTGGGAAAAACCTCTGGGATCATGGGGTTGGAAAAGATCTCTGGGATCATCGTGTGGGAAAAACCTCTGGGATAATGGGGTTGGAAAAGATCTCTAGGAAAAGATCTCTGGGATCTTAATGTGGGAAAAACATCTGGGATAATGGGGTTGGAAAAGATCTCTGGGAAAAGATCTCTGGGATCATCGTGTGGGAAAAATCTTCTGGGATTGTCAGGTTGGAAAAGATCTTTGGGATCATTGTGTGGGAAAAACCTCTGAGATCATTGGATTGGAAATGATCTCTGGGATCATCGTGTGGGAAAAACCTCTGAGATCGTTGGATTGGAAATGATCTCTGGGATTGTCGGGTTGGAAATGATCTCTGGGATCATCGTGTGGGAAAAATCTTCTGGGATTGTCAGGTTGGAAAAGATCTTTGGGATCATTGTGTGGGAAAAACCTGTGGCATCATCGTGCGGGAAAAGATTTCTGGGATCATCAGGTTGGGAAGGATCTCCGGGATCGTTGGGTTGGAAAGGATCTCCGGGATCATTGGGTTGGGAAGGATCTCCGGGATCATCGGGTTGGGAAGGATCTCCGGGATCGTTGGGTTGGGAAGGATCTCCGGGATCGTTGGGTTGGGAAGGATCTCCGGGATCGTTGGGTTGGGAAGGATCTCCGGGATCGTTGGGTTGGAAAGGATCTCTGGGATCATCGGGTTGGAAAGGATCTCTGGGATCGTCGGGTTGGAAAGGATCTCCGGGATGCTGCCGTCCAGCCTGCGGCCCGTCCCCTCCGTGTCCCTGTGAATCGCAGATGGCTCGGCTTGGAAAGGCCCTAAAGATCCTCCATTCCCACCCCTGACACCTTTCCCTGGCCCAGGCCGCTCCGAGCCTGCCCCTGGGCACTTCCAGGGATGCGGCATCCCAAACAATAAAGGAAAAAGGGTTTTTGAATAAAGTGAGTCCGGTGACGCCTCGGCCGCGTTTGCCCCGGCTGGCGCTGGTGTTTTCCATCCCCTCGGTGTTTTCCATCCTGCTCTGGCCGCTCTGGGCTCCAGACCTGGAACCTCCGGGCCCTCACAGGACACTGAGGGGCTGGAGCGTGGCCAGGGAAGGGAACGGGGCTGGGAATGGGCTGGGGAAAGGTGGGGATGGGGCACAGGTGGGACTCGATGATCCCGGAGCTCTTTCCCACCCTCAGACATCCCGGGATTTTGGGAATGCGGGATAAACCTCCAGCGGCGGTCCGCCCGCATCCCATCAGCCCCCGCGCGGGGCCGCTCCGGCCCGGCCCGCTCGCTGCCCCGCGCTCCCGGCGTGCCCCGCGCTTCCGGCCGCGGCTCCTTCCGGTCCCGCCAGCCGTAGAGGACGGTCGCCAGGTCGTGGGGCCGGGCCGGGCCCGGAGGAGCCCGGGGCCGGGCTGGGAGGGGGCTGGGAGGGGGCTGGGAGGGAGAACGGAGCCCCCCCGCCATCCCTATCCACGGCCGGGCTGGCGCGGCAGCGCGGGTTGGGGGTTGCGGGGAGGGCTGTGATGGGGCAGCGCTGCGACCCCTCCCGCGGGGTCTGTCAGCGGTGTCGCGACATGTCGGGCGGGACTGAGGTGACAGGCAGGGAGGGCAAGGTCAGGGGCAGACAGAGGGTCCTGGCGGGAGCTTGCGCGGCTTTGGGCCGGGCTGGGGTCAGCGGAGGATCCGGGATCCCGTGTGGGTGGGAATCCCTTGTCGGGATCCCGCCCTTCCCGGGGATGCTCCCTGCTCGGGGGTCGCTGCAGTGACCCTGGGATGTGCTTGGTGCTCCAGGAACGGTTTATTTTGGAATTTCAGCGTCCTAGAAGGGTGGTTTAAATAAGCCAATGTCCTTTGCCTCCAGTGCAGGAGGCTCGGGTTAAAAACAGGGAGAGAAAGGCTCATCCAGATCGGTTTAGTGGGAGAACATCCTCCTAAATCTCCTCTCCAGCATGGAGTGGTGTGCTGCCCCCTGGAGAAGGAGCAGGAAATCTTTAGGCTGTATTTTTTTTTTTTTTTAATATATAAACTCGTGGGGAAATGTTCTTATTTCACCCCGGGCCCTGACTGTTGCTGCCTGCCCCTGCAGGATGTTGGCTTCCAGAGTGTTCAGCCTGGTCGGGAGGAGATCCATCTCCACCTCCCTGTGCCTCAGGGCACATGGACACGGTGGGTCGGGGGGAGTAAAACACAGCCTGGAGGGGGGAGTTCAGAAATCTGCCCTGGGTGGGCTGTGGGTGAGGGCAGGGTTGGGATGGAGGGAGGTGGCAGGAATGACAGCCATGGGATCATCCAGGTGGGAGGAAGCTGCAAGGTCACCAAGTCCCAGCTGTGCCCAATCCCCACCTTGTCCCCAGCCCAGAGCTCTGAGTGCCACCTCAGGAATTCCTGGGACACCTCCAGGGATGGGCACTCCAAACTTCAATCCCTGAGCCCCCCTTTCCACGGGGAAATTCCTGCTGCTGTCCACCCTGAGCCTGTCCTGGCCCAGCCTGAGGCCGTTCCCTCTGCTCCTGTCCCTGTTCCCTCCTGGCAGGAGCTGTGCAGAGCCAGCAGGGCCCCCCTGAGCTCCTTTTGTCCCCCCAGCTGCCCCTGGATCCCTGGGAGAGTGGGAGGTGTCCCTCCATGGGATGGGATGATCTTTAAGGCCCTTCCCAATCCATCCCAAACCCTTCTGCAATTCCATTTTCATGCTGGCAGCGCAGCATTTCTCCTGAGCCCTTCCACCCCTTCCTGCAGTGCTGCACCTTTGCACTGCTGGCTTCTGGCTTGGGACCAGGCAGAGCTCTGTGTAACCACTGTCCCTGTGTCCCTGTGTGTCACTATCCCTGTCCCTGTATGTGTGTGTGTCCCTGTGTCTGTCCCTTTGTCTGTCCCTGCATCTGTCCATGTGTGTCCCCCCCGTGTCTGTTCCCGTGTCCCCATATGTGTCTCCCTCTGTGTGTCCCTGTGTGTGTCCCTGCATCTGTCTCTGTGTGTGTCCCCGTGTCTGTCCCTGTGTCCCTGCATCTGTCCCTGTGCGTGTCCCTGCGTCTGTCCCTGTGTCTGTCCCCATGTCTATCCCCATGCATGTCCCTGTGTCTGTCCCTGCATCTGTCTCTGTGTGTGTCCCCGTTCCACCAGCCCCTGTCCAGCCTGGCCCTGGGCACTGCCAGGGATCCAGGGCACCTGTGCCAGGGCCTGCCCACCCTCACAGGGAGCAACTCCTTCCCAAAATCCCACCTAAACCCACTCAGCTCAAAGCCATTCCCTTTGTTTTGGCACTCCACGCCCTTGTCAGAAGTCTTGACAGATTTTTGTTGCAGGCCATGCTTGGAACAGCTCTTAATCCTTGTTTTTCCCTCTGTCTGTGAGCAGAGCTGATCCATGTAGGAATGTTCTTAATTATGATGGAGCTCTTTGTGTGCACACATGTGGACATCCATGATTTTTATTCCCAAGATCTTGGGTGCTGTTACAAAGCATGCAGGGCCCTGCTGCGGCTTCTGTTCCATATCTGAGGTCACATTCAGCCATTCCTTCCTCTTCCAGAAACCAAGTAATAATAATAATAATAATTAATAATCAGATTTATTTCTTGATTCCCATCTGCTTTCAGCCAGCCAGGAAAAAAAAAAAAATCTCTTCAGTACAACACCGTGCCATTGTCAGTCCTGCTGGGTGAAGTGAGCCCCAAACACAAACGTGGATCTGAATGTTAATAACCACTGACCTTGGCATGAACCAAATTCCACCCTGTGAAGGCTCCCTGTGGGTGTTTTGACTTGCAAATAAAATTGCCTCATCTTTTCTAACTGCTGTTATGTTATGAAGGGAGAACCTGATCTGGGAAAGGTTTAAAACAGGAATTGTTCCAAATTTTCTGTTGCTTTGGATTTTGAATTCCTGCGGATTTCAGTGGCAGCTGAGCTCGAAACATTCCTGTTGGAATTATTTGTGCTATGAAGCTTTGGGGTCAATAACCACACTGGGAATTGGAGGGGAGGAAGGAGAACTCCCAGTTTTCCTTCTTTCAGGTCTATACTGTAATCTGTGCCCAATTTAGGATAATCTGTAAAATGGAGACTAAAATTGATGTGGGGGTGAAACAACTGATTGGCTTTGGTGTGTGCCACACCTAATTTAACATCCATCCCCTTTTGGGCAGCCTCAGGCTTTGTTCACCTCCCTCTGCAGACTTCTGGTCACCTGAAAATCCCAGGAAAAGATAAAAGAGGGGATTTGATACTTTTTTTTCCCCAGTGTATCGGATAAAATTCAACGAGACCTACGCAGAGATGAAAAAAGGGACAAACGAGTGGAAAACCATCCTGGGGGGAGTTCTGTTCTTCCTTGGTCTCACTGGACTCGTCCTCATCTGGCAGAAGCACTTCAGTAAGTAACTCTTCCATGGAGAGTGGGATCAGGAGATGCCTGATGGGAATTCTGTGGGGCCAGGATGGTTTATGGAACAGCCAGAACAGGGGATTCCATTGTCTGTTAGTCCCTGAAAACTCCATCCTGGAGCTGTAACTCGTGGGGATGTAGCAGAAATACTCAGGAAGCTGACTCAGAGAAATTTGGGAGGACAGGAAATGGAAGGGAATGAGTGGTGAGATTCCTGATCCCAGAGCTTCCCCTCTTTTGCTGCCTTGGGTAGTGAACATTTGGGTTTCTGCCACGTTTGGCTGCCTTCCCAGCTAAGGATTCAGCCTCCAGGGAGCCTCCAGCTGCCGGGAGGCAGAGCAGCAGTTAAAGGAGCTGCTCCCTGCCTTGAGGCTCCCAAAAATAGGAAAGCAGGAAGCTGTGATCTTGGTGATGGAGGAAACCACTGGAGAATCCATGTGGGAGTGTGGTTTGAGCTGGATGCTGCAGATGCTGCGTGCAGGGAGTGGAGATTGGAACAGATGACAGAATCACGGGCTGGTTTGGGTTGGAAGGGATCTTGAAGATGATCCCATTCCACCTCCATCCATGGCCAGGGACACTTCCCACTGTCCCAGGTTTCTCCAAACCCCATCCAGCCTTGCCTTGGACACTTGTAGGGGCAGCCACAGCTTCTCTGGGGCAACCTGCTCCATTGGGATAACTTCAGCGGGGGGAAAATCCCTTTTATTAGCAAAACTTAGCCCAAAATTCCCAACTTGCTGAGGTGGCATGAGGACATAATTCCCTAATTCCCTCCCATCCTGCAGTGTACGGCCCTGTCCCGCACACCTTCTCCGACGAGTGGCTGTCAGCTCAGACCAAGAGGATGTTGGACATGAGGGTTAACCCCGTGCAGGGCATCACAGCCCAGTGGGATTTTGACAAGAACGAATGGAAGAAATAAAGCAACTCAGTGGAACCTGCTCTGCTTGAATATGAAATGATTCCATCACCCGTGTGTGACCTCGTTGCTTGTTGTACTGGAACACCCTCTGCACCTCCAGAAATGCTAATAAATGTCTGGTTAACTTGAGAGCTGCCTGTTGCTGGTCTCTGGGTGGGTTTCTTGGGGTGGAACGTTGGGTACCTGATCAAGATTTGCTGCCTGCCTTAATGTTTTCAGGGCTAAGAAAGCTGCTGCCAAATTTCTCCCTTAGCTGAGCTGGTGTCTCCTGGACCCTGCAGGTTTTTAACAGCTCTTACTCCCTGTTTTTCCCAGTGTCTGTGAGCAGAGCTGATCCCCGAAGGAATTTTCTGAATTATGATGGAGCTCCTTGTGTGCCCACACATGGGCATCCATGATTTTTATTCCCAAGATCTTTGGTCCCTCTGATCCCTGCCCCTCTAAAGCCTAAACCAAGTTTGGACTTAAGTTTGCCTGATGGGACAGGAAACCATCAGGAAATGGATGTTGTGGTTTAGGAGCTGTGGTGGGCTGTTGCTGGCCCCTTTCCCTTCCACTCAAAAAATTTGGGAAGGTTTATAAGGTGAGGTAATCTGGTGGGAATTAAGCAGTGAGCTCCCCTTCCTACAGCTGAAAAATCCCTTCAGTGGTAAATCTATCTTGGGTGCTGAGGAGGATGAGGGTGACAATCCCAGCCTGGTGGTGATGGCTGGAATTCTGCTTTTCCCTGCTTTTTGCACAGCTCCTGCCTCTGGCAGCCTGGTGGCACCGACCTGGGTGAGGGACACAGATGCCAGGGGATTGTGCCTGGAAAATCGATTTGTTTTGGAGCAAATGCTGGAATTTCAGTGCTTCTGGGATAAGTGAGTTGTTCCTCCCAGGACTGTCCTTCCAAAAAGCTGTGGAACCCCAGGGAGGCCAGGACAGAAACCTGAGCCTTGCCGTGATCCCAGATCCTTATTTCATCCTCCCCTTCCTGGCACCAGCCACTCTCTGCTCCTTTCCCTCCGGAGCAGCAGCGGGACCTGCTGGAGCAGCCTCAGGTGAGCTGAGTTTGCCAGGGCTCTGCTTGCTCCCCTCCTGGTGTGTTTCCCTTCCTCCTGCCCTGGGAAGGGGTCAGAGCTCACCATCCTCCCTGGGAATTTGGGATGTTTGTTTGCAGGTAGCCTTGGAGACTGAGAAACCACCCGAATCCTGATCCTGGGGAGAGAAAATCCATGGGGACTGGAATGAGCAAGGTACAGGGGGACAGTGGGATGGTGGCCAGCACATTCTCTTCTTCTGCAGCTCATGGACGCACTTCCCAGGTCCCTAAACACAGCTATCTGCACCTTCCCCTTTCCCACAGCCCTTTGGAATTCCAAGCACTTCAAGAGAATTAGGAAAACAAACACGGATTTAAATCCAAGCTTTATATCCACGTGAAGAGCTCGGTGTCTGCAGGTGTCAGAAAAGTGACAGCTGGCATTAAGTGCTCATCCCCGGGGTGGTAAAACCTTGGCATTTTCATCCTCAGGGATAACAGGGGTCCCTGCAGGGAAATTCCCCCCTTCCCACCCTCAGGGCGTGCCCCAGCAATGGGGGAAGTGTGGTTTCAGTGCTGCTCTTTCCTCCAGGGCTGGAGGAGGGGATCAATTTCTGTTGGTGTCCTTAAATAACCACTTGGAATGTGAGTCCTCCAGTTTAAAATTAGACTCTAGGACAACAACAGAGAGATGAGATCAGGGCAAACTCCCTCTGCATGGCTCTGATGTGGTTTAACACCGGGGATTCACCCCCTGTGAACTCAGCCTGACAGGCACAGTGCCTTTTACAGCCCCCGTGCCACCAAACCCTTTTGGGGAGCCCAGGCTGTTGTTGCCCAGGGCTGGATTGGTGCAGACCCTTTTGTAGGATCCAGTTTTGCACTCCATAAGATGCAGGGCTCTGCATTTCCCTTCACAGTTCATGCTGTGCTGAATCCAGGTGTTTGCACCCAGGAATGGGCTGGGGTTCAGCTGGATGTGACCCCGTGCTGTTGAAAACCCTAAAACTCCTCAAACCAGGGCTCTTCTGCCAGATGGGCACAGCAAGTCCAGCTGATGATCAGCTCTTGTCTTTCTGTGCCTCTGGAAATGCTCTGGCAGGTTCTCACACCCCTTAAACACCCTCAGCTGTCCCTTTTCTCCTTCATAACCCTGCAGCAGCGAGTTGGAGACCAAATTTGCAGCCTTGACATCTCTTAACTGCAATAAATATAAATCCTGCTATAAATAGCATCCATCCATCCATCCCCAGCTGGCAGATGCAACCTTTGAAACTCCAGAGGATCACATCCAAACTCCTCCCATTTCTGTGCTGAGCTGTTCCTGAGCTCTGCTCTCCTGAGGGGTTTGGGCTCAGCTTTCCTGGCTGTTTGTGAAGATGATCCATGGATTTGGGTGCTTGGTTTGGCATGGCCTGGGGAGTTTGGTGCCAGGTGTCCTGGTCCTGCTGGAGCTCATTCCCACCACATCAGATGTACCTTGTTCCTGGTGCCATCTGAATTCTCTCTCCTTTTTGTCACCTCCCAGATTGTCACCGGCCTCTACCTGGGGAATATTCATGGTGAGTGTCTTTCCCTGCCCCTCCGTGGTGCTGTGGGATCCTTGGGCAGCTGGCAGGGCTGGAGGATTCCTCTCCTTGGCAACTCCATGTGCCCCCAACTGGGAATCTCAGCATCTCCCAGAGCTGGCCCAAATCCCCTTCCCAATTTCCAGTGATCCCAGTCCAGCCCAGGAAAGGGATGTCCACTGGGAGCTGTGCTCACCAGCCATGCTGGAACCCCAGGAAATTCACAGCACATCTGGAAACCTCCCCACCAGCAAGGACACAACAGCCTTGTCTGAGTTCTCAGGGTAATTTCTGATGTTGGGATGGCTTTAGGAACCTGCTGAGCACCCAGGGCATCCCAGGGGGGTTTTGCCTGGAAGGAGGTGTCCAATCTCCTCCCTGCACCGTGTGGGATGAGAGGCAGGGCTGGAATGGGGGTCAGGGGGAGGGGGTGGCCGGTGGGTCCCAGCAGGGCAGGTAATTCCCACGTGGCTCCCATTTCCAGACTCTGAGGACCATGAGAACCTGCTGAGCAAGGGGGTGACCCACATCCTGTCCGTGCACAACCGCGCCAAGCCCGTGCTGGAGGTGTGTGCCTGGCTGGGGGGGCTGGGGACCACCCGGGGCAGCAGGACCAGGGAGGGGACACCCAGGAGCTTCTCCTGGCCTGGGGAGAAGCAATGCTGGATTTGCACCGATTTGCACCGATTTGCACCAATTTACACCGATTTGCACCAATTGGCACCAGGCGATGCTGCCCAGAGGGGCTCGGTGATGGATTTGGGGAGGGGGCAGCGGGGTGCTTGGGTGGTTTTTGGGGGGCAGGCGGGACCCGCAGCGCTGCCGGGGGGTCCCCACGAGAGGGCGGCGGCGCCCCGCGAATGGAGCCCCGGCGGGGAGGGGACACGGCGGGACCGCAACCGGGGCTGGCACCGCCTGCTCGGTGTCCCCGCTCCCCCGGCCTCGCTGATCCCCGGAGCGCTGCGGGACCCTGGCTGGGGAAACTGAGGCAGGAGGGAGCTGCCCCTGGGGTGGCGGCAGAGGGGTGCGACAGGTCGCTGGGGCACAAATCCTGCCCGGATGGACCAAGCTGCAGGTTCAGCTCCTGGGATGTGCCAGGAGCAAAGGGCACGGCCGTGGGGTGCTGGGACCTGCTGGGGGACAGGGACACCTTCCACCATCCCTGGCTGCTCCAAGCCCCAATGTCCAGCCTGGCTCCAGAGCAGAGTTTTCCCAGCTTTTGGAGCATTTCCCCAGCTCCTTTGGACTCTCTCCAGTGGCTCCACGTCCTCCTGGTGCTGGGGGTGCTTCACCCCAATGCTGAGGTGCTGCAGAAAGGGAATGTGACCACCAGGACCCCTCATCCTTTTGGGGCCACCATGGGGGGGAACCCCAATAAAACTCCAGCTGGGGCTGCTGAGGCGCTGAGAACCGGGAGTGGGACAGAGCCACAGGAAAGGACAGAGCCACAGGGAGGGACAGAGCCACAGGGAGGGACAGACGGGCCGGGGCCGGGGCCAGGGCAGCAGCCTTGGCTGGGCCAGACGGGGAGCAAAGCGCACGGAGCGCTTACAACGGGGAGCAAAGTGCTCAGAGCACTGACACCACAGAGCAAAGCACACACAGCACTTACACCATGGAGCAAAGTGCCTGCAGCACTTACACCATGGAACAAAGCACATGGAGCGCTTACACCACGGAGCAAAGCGCTCAGAATGCTTACACCATGGAGCAAAGCGCACGCAGCGCTTACACCATGGAGCAAAGCACACACAGCACTTACACCATGGAGCAAAGCGCACGCAAGGCTTACACCATGGAGCAAAGCACACACAGCACTTACACCATGGAGCAAAGCGCACGCAACGCTTACACCACGGAGCACAGCCCGCAGAGGGGAAGCGGAAGGGCCCGGGGGGTTTTGCAATGTGTCAATCACGGCCCCAGCGGTGACCGCAAACCCCAGCGCCGCTGCCTTGGTGGCCCCGGGATGGGGACACCCGGCCCCGTGAGGAGCTGCTGGGCTCATCCCGGGCTGGGGGGTGGGTCGGGCTTTGGGGTGGGTCAGGGTCATTTTGGCTTCTCCATGGTGGGTTTGGTAACTCTTTCCAGCTTGGGAGATTTTGGGATGGCACCAGGCATGGAGCTGTGGGTGAGGTGATGCACGGAAAGCCTGTGGGTCATCCCAGCACAGAATTATCCCTGTGCCCACCCTGAACAGTTTGGCTTTTGTCCCCCCCAAAAGTAAACTGAGAAAAAAAAAAAAAAAAAAAAAAAAAGAGAGAAATTGAGGATTTTGTGATTCTTGGTGGTATTTTGTGACTGTTTTATTTTGTATTGCAGGACATGACCTATCTGTGTATCTCGGCCTCGGATTCATCCAGTCAAAACCTGTAAGTGATTTCCCATCCTTTTTCCTGTTGGCAGCTGTTGGTCAATAAAAGCTCAGGTTCTGTGGGATGAAGCTTTAGTCTATTCATGTTGTGAAATTTCACATAATCCCTGAGCTTCCCAGAAGCTGGGGTTCATTTTTGTGTGGTAAATAACATTTTAGGCCTTAAAATCTATTTTTAATGTGTGTTTGCAGTCAGGAAATGTGATTTTTTTGGTCAAGTTTCAGAGTTATTCCACTGGCAGGATTGAAAATTGGAGTGTTAGAAAGATGATTTGTGTCAGTCTTCAAGGCTTTTTTTTTTTTTTTAAGAGAAATTTATTAAAATATAATTTTTTTTTGCCATATAAAGCACTGATGCTCATAACTCTTGGAATGCTGTTTTTGGAGATGAAGCTGCTGAGAGGAGCTGGGAGGAATTCCCAGGATTTTGTGGGATGCTGCTGCTTTGGGTGATGAGCACCCATAAATCATCAATTTACACCAGCAAATTGGCAAATCCACGGGATTTTTCCCTCCAATCAAACCCTAAAAAGCATCAAAAATTAATTTCCGAGTCCCTGCCTGTGGAGCTGCTGGCTTTTCCAGCATCCTTGGGAGCAGCCATGCCCAGGGGTGGAATCCTGCTTGCTCATGTTCTGGCTGAGCGGAAAGAGAAGCTTTACAAGAAAACCCTGCCTCAGCAAGAACTGGGATTTTTGGTTGTTATTTTTTGCCCCTTCGCTCATTTCTTTGCGCTTGTGGCGTGTAAAAAAAAAAGAAGATAAGGCTGCCTGCAGGAAGGAAGAGTTATTCAAGAAACTATTTTCTGCTTGTCAGTTTATGCCTTGGATTTCACAATCCTGGTGAACTTTGTGTCCTGCTTGTGATTTTGGAGCTTAGTGCTAATTCCACTCCCCGATCCCACGCTTGGAGGCTGGAAAAGCACAGGCAGAGCTTTCCCTGTGGGGAAAACACCCGTGGGTGAGGATGGATGGGGAGCCAAATTCCTTTGGGAGGTTGGGACAGGGATGCAGGCTGGAGGCATGAGCGTTGTGTCCTTGCAAGCAGAGAACATTCCTGCTGGTCCTGCCGAGGGGCTGAAGGGCAGGACTGGGATCTGCAGAGTTTGGAGCTGTGTGGGCAGCACCTGCAGGCCCTGGGGGGATGTTGTGTGCTCTGTGAAGATCAGCAGGATAAGCAGGGAAATCCTCTGGGACCAGCTTTGGATGACTTGGGAAGGCTGGACAGAGCTAAAGAATAAAGCAGGAAATTATTAAAAGGATCTCCTCAGTGGATCCACCTTGGGCAGCACAAGAGCCCAGCCAGGGCTGCACCCAAGATGAACCAAAATGGTCCCAAAATGAACCTAGGTTGAACCCAAATGGTCCCAAAATGCACGAGCGCTCACGGGGTCTCTCCCTGGGATCAGCTCTGCTCCATGTGCACATTGCAGTTCAGTGTCCAATTCCAGCTCAGCCCCTGCACTCCCATCCTGCTTGTTTTTCTCTCTCCAGCCCACGGGGTTTGTGCTCTTGGGCTGAGATTTGGATCATTTGTCCTTGGTGCCCAGCTGGAGCAGGAATTGTTTTGTGTCCCTGCTCTGTGCAGATAGTTCACCATCCCCTGATGTGAAGCTCAGACCCACACACTAAAGCAGCACAGAATCTGAAAAATATAAAAGCTAAACCTGAGGCATCACTTTGGGCAGGGAAAATCCTCCCAAATGGTGATGCTCCATTTGCTGGAGGATCCTTGGATTGACATCTCCTTCTAGGAATGAGAGGCTCAGTATTTTTAGCCTGCTCATGATGTGAGAACCTCCCTCGTCTCTCCTCCTGTTCCTGGGAAGCAGAACGCCCTGCAATTCCTGAATAAATTCATCTTTGGCTCCTCTGACAGCGCCGAGCCCAGCACTCCAGGGCAGGGTGAAGAACAAACACCCTTCTCCATGGGCCAGGAGGAGCTTCTGGAGAGTTCCCAGAGGGAGAGCAGCTCCCTTGGCAATGGGAATGACTGCGGGAGGTCAAGCCTTGGCTTCTGAGAAATCAGGAAGGCAGCGTGGGCTCACGCCCACCCCGTCACGCGGAGCAGAGGAAGTCCGGCGCCGCAGCAGAAGTTATATAAAATTTGGATCATTTATCCTTGGTCCCCAGCTAGAGAAGGAATTGTTTTGTGTCCCTGCTCTGTGCGGAGAGCTCACCATCCCCTGATATGAAGCTCAAACCCACACGCTAAAGCAGCCCAGAATGTGAAAAGTATGAAACCACCTTGGGCAGCACAAGAGCCCAGCCAGGGCTGCACCCAGGATGAACCCAAATGGTCCCAAAATGCACGAGCGCTCCCGGGGTCTCTCCCTGGGATCAGCTCTGCTCCATGTGCACATTGCAGTTCAGTGTCCAATTCCAGCTCAGCCCCTGCACTCCCATCCTGCTTGTTTTTCTCTCTCCAGCCCACGGGGTTTGTGCTCTTGGGCTGAGATTTGGATCATTTGTCCTTGGTGCCCAGCTGGAGCAGGAATTGTTTTGTGTCCCTGCTCTGTGCACAGAGCTCACCATCCCCTGACGTGAAGCTCAGACCCACACACTAAAGCAGCACAGAATGTGAAAAATATAAAATATAAACCCTGAGGCATCAGGCATGGGCCCCAAAAAGAGTCCTTGGTGTTGACCGTCCCTGGGGAGGGGGGAGGAAGGCGAGGAGGAGGAGGAGGCGCAGAACAGCAAGGGATGTGTGCTCCCTGCACTGACCACCTGAGCATCCAAGACGTGGGACGGGCTTGAGGAGGGGACAGGGAGGTGACAACAGCACTGAGGGTGTGAGAGCGCTCCTCATCCCCTCCAGCCCACGAGGGGCTCTGCACCCCAGGGTGATTCCTGCGGGATCCCCTCCCTGACTGGCTCCTCGGCCGCCCAGCCTGGCCGGGGTGTCCCGCAGCAGCACGGTGCTGGTGGCATACCTGATGACAGTGACAGAGCTGGGCTGGCAGAGCTGCCTGGCTGCCACCAGGGCCGTGCGTTCCTACGCCAGCCCCAACCCCGGCTTCCAGCAGCAGCTGCAGGAGTACGAGAGCACCCTGCTCCACGAGGTAAGCCCTCCTTGCGTGCATTTTTGGGGGGGTTGCAACCAGGCACGGCTCCTTTGCATGCAGATGTGTGCTCCAGCTGGATTTGGGAATGTCATTTATCACCTAAGGATTTGGGGGTTTGCGTGCATAAACAAAAAGAAATTAAAAAAAAAAAATTGCCTTGATGTTGTGTGAGTGCACTTTAAAAAACTCTTAAAAACCCTAAAGCCTAAACTTGTTTTCTGGAGTTGGGATGCAGCGGGAAGGATGGGAGAGCAGTTTGTCCCTTGGGAACCTCAGGAAGGAGCTGGGCCAGTTCCCGGGAATGCAGAGTGGAGAGGGGGAGTGCAGAGGGAGGAAGGCTCTGGTGAGGATGTCTGGGCACGCTGGGGTCTGCCAGGGCTCCCTCTGCCAGCAAGTGCCCTGCTCCCAGGGGCAGGTGGCAGGCAGGAGTGGAGAAATCTCCTATTTCCTCCCCAAAACGAGGTGGGGCAGCAGGTCTGGGAGAGCAGGAGCTGAGGCTGGCCGGGTGCAGGGGAGGGAGGATGGAGCAGAGCCCAGCTGCATTCCAGGGAGAGCACTTAGTGCAGAGGTCAGAGCTGCACTTTTGACCTGGAAAGCCTTCGAAAGCAGAGGGACAGGCCTTGAAAGGCAAAGGGAAAGACCTTAAAAAGCAAAGGGAAAAAAACCTTAAAAAGCAAAGGGAAAAAAAAACCTTAAAAAGCCAATGAAAAGGCTTTTAAAAGCACAGCTCCCACCTGGCTCTCCAGCTGCCTCCCACTCTGGACTCTGCCCCTTCCCCCATCCCTGGGGTCCCAAACTTCCCATGGGACACAGACACCTCTGCAAGGAAAGGGAGACTCTGGAAAAGATGTGTGCAAGGGATGTCACAGCTCCTGTCACCCCTGGAGGCAGAGGGCACTGCAGCCACCGTGCAATGGCCCCGTGGCAAACAGGGGTCCCTGTGCTCCCTCTGAGCCCTTGGGGGGATTCCTGTGCTGGCAGGAGGGAGCAGGGACAGCCCGTGACACTGTCCCCAAGGCCAGCACTGTCCCCAAGGCCAAGTTCCTTTCCCCGGTGCTGTCACACAGGGATGCGGCCCTGCCCCGTTAGCACCAGCTGGCAGGAACGCCCCTGCAGGAGGGTGGAAAATGTTCCTGGGGATTACAAAACACCCGCGGGGCTGGAGATTCCCTGGGGGCTTCCCCTGGCTGGGCCAGCTCTCCCCAGCCCTTCCCACAGACCCTGGTGTGGGCTTTGCTGTGCCCTCCCTCTCTCCATCCCAGTAATTCCCCTGCTCCCCAAATCCCTGCACACAGCCTGGTGTGGGCTTTGCTGTGCCCTCCCTCCATCCCAGTTATTCCTCCTGCTCCCAAAATCCCTTCCCACAGATCCTGGTGTGGGCTTTGCTGTGCCCTCCCTCCATCCCAGTTATTCCTCCTGCTCCCAAAAATCCACACTGGGCTCAATGGACACCACAACTTCCTCCTTTTCCCTTCAAATCTGCTTTTTCCATCAGCTCACGGTTCTGCCAGTGGCTTTGCAACCCTTTCCCTGAAACAGCCAAGGCACAGCTGGGGGTGGAGGTGCTGGGATGTGTTTTCCTGTCCGTGGGATTTAGCAAGAGCTGCCTTTTCCTTGAAACTCCCACCCGTGTTCCCTGTGATGTCAGCCCTGGGCAGGGAATGGCTCTCGTGGGTGGGAAACCTCAATCCTTGCTGGTTCAAACCTCTGAGGAACAGCTTGGACCTCCTGGAGCTGTGGTGACTCAGTTTCCTTCACCTCAGGGAGCTCAGATGGGAGGAAGGGATGGGGAAGATGCTCCAGCCTCGTGCTGGAGTGTGCAGCTGTGGTTTCAAGCTGGCAAATGGGGCTTCTCCAGGCTGGAGGGATGAAGAAGGAAGGAAAGGACCAAGAGCAGCAGCAGGATGATGGCTAGGGTTAGAAAAGGAAGCCAGTGTGGATGTCACAGAGGGCACAGATGGGCATTCTGGTGACAGACCTGTCCCCCGTGGTGCTGGCACAGCGTGGCCAGGCTGTCTTTTCCCCCAGATGGGCTGGCTGCTCCTGGCCTAGGAGGAGGGGAGGAAGAGGAGGAGGAGGAGGAGGAGGGCAGTGGCTTGGTGCTGAGCACTGCAGGAAATGGGCTGGAACCACTTCTTGCTCTGGCTTTAAGAGGAAATGCCTGGCAGCTTCCCCCATCTCCCTCCCACTCCCTCCCTCCTCCCTGGAGGGTGGGAGGCAGCCCCCAGCCTGGCTGTGAGCCCTGCTGGGTGCCAGGCAGCCCTTCCCACAGAGCTCCAAACCTCTGGATGGTTGGCACAGAGGGGATGTGCCCCCCATGAGATCCTGGCGTGGGTCTTGCCCCAGATCCTGCCCCAAACCCTCTGGTCTCCCTTCCCAGGGGGTGTTTTCTCTCAAGGAACACAGGTCTGGCTCTCAGGGCCACCCGGGGCAGGGATGTCCCTGCTTGCAGGTGGCAATTGTGTGACAGCCCTGGTGAGTCCTGCTGTGGGAGGGAGTGGATTTGGGAAATCCAGACATTCCCAGTGGAAATCCCCCCTGCCCCAGCTGATTTTCCCTGGCTGCAGGAGAGGGGGATACCACCAGGGTCACTCTAAAACTTTTTTTTCCCTTGTGGCTGGTGCAGTGCTGAGCTGCCAGTCCTGCTGCCCTGCCTCCCAACCTTTTTCTGGGAACTTGGTGGCTCCTGCCCATTCAGGATCCCAAATCCACAGCGAGGGCACCTCACCCTGGGGGTGCCAAGGCTGGGCAGCTCACGGCAGCTGCTTCCCTCTCCCCCTGGCTCCCCTGGCTGCATCCCATCCCTGTCCCTGTCCCCATCCCAGGGCTCCAATGCTTGGTCCCTCTCTGCACCCTTTGCACCTACAGGCTCCCTCCATCCTTTCCTCGAGGTGTTTGGTGTTGCTGGGTGTGCTCCTACCACTAATTCCTTGCTGGAGCAGCTGGATCTCTCCTCAGGGGGATGGCAGAGCCCCAGTGAGCCCTGGAGTGGTGAATCCTGGCAGAGCTGCCCCTTCCTGCCCACGCTCCTGCGTGCTGCAGTTTGGGGCTGTCTGGCTGTTTCCTCATCCCAGCACTAACGGGAACAGTTTCTCTGGATCATCCCTTGCTTCCAGGCCTCAGCCTGCTGCCAGCTGGCCACCAGGATGCTCCTGCCTCTGGAATAATCAGGATCAGTGGGGTGAGAGGCTCCCCACAACCTCCTGAGGTGCTCTGACATCAAACCTGCCCCACCTTGCAAGGACCAACTCGACCCTGCTGCCTGTGGAAAAAATAAAAAAAAAACCCCAAAAAACCTTTGGGAAGCATTCCTTACGGGAATTCAGGCACACGAGGAAGCAGCAGCTTCTTGGCAAGGAGGAATAAATAAAGCTGCTGTCCCAGCTGCAGGCAGTGTGGGAAGCTGGGGGTGCTGCCAGCTCTGTGCTGGGGATGTGGGGATCCCCTGCATCTCTGGGGTGCTGGGGGTGAGCTCCTGTGGGACTGGCACCTTCCTGCGTGCTGGCTGTGCTGGGCATGCAGCAGGGATGGCTTTGCTCGCTGCTTTCCCCCGGATCTACCGCAGCCCTGCTCTGTCTCTGCGCTCTCTCAGCTTTTCAGGTCACCCTGACAACCTCTCCTGCCTTTTTTTTCCTGCCAGTACCGCGCTTGGATCCGCCGGGAATACGGCAGGAACCCCTTCCAGGACCAGGAGGAGCTGCAGCGCCTGCTGGAGCAGCAGCAGGGCAGCAGGGATTGCTCCTGGCCCCGCTCCCCGGCTCCCTCCTTGTCCCCTCCCTGCCACACCGCTGGCACCGCCGCTGGCAGCAGATGCACGAGCAGATAAGCAGCCAGGCTGTCCCCGGGCTTGGAAAACTCAGTTTTCCCTTTGCCAAGCACCTCCAGGGATTCGTGGCTAGGGCACAAAGCTGCCAGCACCAGCCTGGGCTCCAGGGGGGACAGGAGCCACAGATCCCCGTGGCAGCTGCCAGCTCCAGGGAAAGGGTGACAGTGCCCTGCTCTGTCCCATGCCCCATTCCCAATGGATTACAGCCCCCTCTCCACCCTCAGAGCAGCAGCCAGCCCCGTCCCTCTCTCCTCATGACAATATCTGGGCTGGCAGGGCATGGGAAAGGTGGTGCAGGCCTTGGGAATGAATCCAAGGTGGGCGGAGATGGAGAGGGGCCACCTTGTCCTCTGCTTCCCTGAGGAAGGAGGGGTGAATCCTGGGATGTGGGGATGCTCTGAGCCTCAGCTGGCAGCCAGTGGGGTGGGGAGGGGGGCTGGAGGTGTTTTGGGGCTGCCCCTCGCTGTGCATGTCCCTGGCAGGTGAATATCAGCCCCAGGGATAAGGGGAAAGGTAAACCCAAATTTACCTTTTATCTGGAGTTTTCCTTATCCCAGCTCCAGGGATAATGGGAAAAGTAAACCCAGATTTACCTTTTATCTGGTATTTTCCTTATCCCAGCCCCAGGGAGGGGGGAAATCCAGCAGTGCCTGTCCCACTGCCTCCATCCCTGGAGCCAGAGTGGGTTTGGGATTTCCCTGAGCCCCATCCGAATGTCCCTGCTTGCCAAAGAAACCAAAAGCTTGGTTGGATTCACTCAACCCATGGACCAATTTAACTCTGTCCTTCTCCAAAAGCCTTTTTAATTCCTAAACCCCGTGGCCGTGTCCAGTTTTTCATCCCAAGCTCGGATTGTGCTTTTCCAGAGCTTTCTTTGGCAGGAATCCCCCTTACAAGGGGGGTCCCATCCCATGGATTCAGCCCTTCCACATGGAAACCTTCAACCCTTCCGTGCCATCTCGGCCTTTTACTATAATTACCCTGTTTGTCCACTCAAAAAATGTCTGTTCTGCAATTCCTTCTAAGAAAAAATGGGATTCAAAACATTTCTAGGAATTCTCTTGATGAAGATTTTTGGGTACTCATCATGTGACAGCACCAGGGGTGACTCACCCAGCTCCTAATAAAGAAAAAAGTGATTAAATCCTGAGGGTGGCTGGACTTGATTTGTGGTGTTCCTGGTGGGAATACAGAGATGGACTGAAATGACCACCCTGCTTCCCATTTTCCTGGTGAGAACCACCAGCAAAATGAAAAGTTTTAAATATTCCGCGTATAGCCATGATGTATAGAATTCCAGGGGAAAAAAATGTGTTTTTTCCTCATTTATTTAGGTGGAGAAAAGGGCCCCTGTGGCTGGTATTCCACATGGGAGTAATGGGAAAGCAATGAATGAGGTGGAGGCTGTTGATGGAGTGGGCTGAAGGGAGGCTGAGCAATCAGCTCAGGGATCAATACTGGATTTAAAGCCTCTGTTTTCATTTTAGGAAGCAGAAAAATGGAACTTGCAGGCAGGAAGAGAAAGGAGAAGAAAGTGGGAGTTAATAGGAAGTCGTTGGAGATGGGTGATAAGCAGAGATTAGATGTGCAGGAGGTGTGATAAGCTCCACAGCCCGGGGTTCAAACATTCCCAGGGAACCACAGCACCACAGAAAAAGCTGGGAAAATCCCCCAGATTTGGGGAATCACAGCAGCACCCTCCGTGCCTGACATCACCGCCACAACCATGCCCCAAAAACCTCCTCCTAACCCAAATTTCCCTGGATTTGAGAGCTATCAAATATCTATTTTTTTATGTGAATATATCTATTTTTTCCACTCTGTCCTCCATCAGCGGGACCTGAGGTGGATTCAGGAATTCTGGGAGCTGGGAGGCAAACCCTGGACAGGTAAAACTGGGCTGATTTCCACTTTTTGCCTGAAACCCTATTTTAATGGGGTTAATTTTTTATCCTCCCCACAGGGACCCTCTTCACCCCAGGGAATTTGGTTTTACCTTTCCATCTTACCTTTCCTATGAAGCTGCAGAGCCAAAATGAAGGTGGGAATGATGAAGTGGCCTCTCCCCATTGGAAATTCACAATGAATTTCCACGTTTTTGGTCTCCAGAGGAGATGGAGAGTTTGGTTGTGTGCAGACTCTTCAAAACACCACAATTTTCCAAGAATTTTAACAAAACAAAGAGGTTTTTACAGGAGGGTCTCTATCTAGCAGGAGGATGCAAAACCCCTGCAAAGCTTAAAATTGTATTTTTTGGTCAAAAAAAAAAAAAAAAAAAAAAAAAAGAAAATGAATCCTCCTGACTATCTGATTGCAGAAGATGGGTTTTGGCTCGCCCCAAATCTCCTGGGGGGGATCCAATGAGGATCAGTGGGGTGTTTAAAAACAAGGGCCACACAGCCATCCTTTATTAGAAATGACAGGAAAGGTTGTGCACCTCAGAGCGTTATTTTTATTAAACCATCTGTGCAGCTCCATACATTTCCCATTTCTCTGTATTACCCACGTGGGAGTAATTATGGTTTTCTTCCAAGAAATGTGTGTGTAATCTGGTAATCCCAAAAAACCCCCTCTGAAGTCAGGCTGCAGATGGTCCTTTATGCTCTGGTGGGTCTGGCTGGGTTTGGCCGGGATGGGGCACGGTCAGGACACCAAATCCAGACTGGGAACAGTGGGAACTGCTGGGGCAGGCAGGGAGGGAATGATCCAGGACTGATCCCAGAAAGGAACTGGGAGCTGCCTGGACTAAACTGGGACTGGGGATGGACCAGTCTGGGACTGGGGAAAGTGGCCTGGGAGTGGGAATGGACTGGGCTGGGACTGGGGACACTGGGCTGGGACTGGGGACACTGGTCTGGGAATGGGGAAACTGGTCTGGGACTGAGGATGGACCAGTCTGGAAAGTGGTCTGGGAGTGGGAATGGGCTGGGCTGAGACTGGGGACACTGCTCTGGGACTGGGAAAGGTGATTTGGGGTTGGGGATAGAATGACCTGGGACTGGAGAGTGACCAGTCTGGGACTGGGGAAACTGATCTGGGACTGGGGAAATGGATCTGGGATTGGTGAAACTGATCTGGGATTGGGGAAACTGATCTGGGAATGGGGAAACTGATCTGGGAATGGGGAAACTGGTCTGGGAATGGGGAAACTGATCTGGGATTGGGGAAACTGATCTGGGACTGGGGAAATGGATCTGGGATTGGTGAAACTGATCTAGGATTGGGGAAACTGGTATGGGATTGGTGAAACTGATCTGGGACTGGGGAGACTGGTCTGGAATTGGGGAGGTTTATTTGGCGATGTACGGATCATGGGCTGGGGATGGATTGGTCTTGGACTGGGGAAACTGGTCTGAGACTGGGAATGGAGTGGGCTGGGACTGGGATATCGGTCTGAGACTGGGGATGGACTGGGCTGGGACTGGGATATCGGTGTGAGACTGGGAATGGACTGGGCTGGGACTGGGATATTGGTGTCAGACTGGGAATGGACTGGGCTGGGACTGGTAACGGAGCAGTCTGGCTCTGGGAAGACTGCTCTGGGACTGGGGAAGCTGGGTTGGAACTGAGAATGGATTAATTTGGGACTAGGAATGACGGGACCGAACCGACTCGGGACAGACCCGGGACAGGGGCGGGCTAACCACGCCCCCTCCCCATTTGGCCCCGCCCCCTCCGCTCAGGCCCCGCCCCTCCCGGTCAGCTGATTTCGGGGAAAGCCGCGCTTTAAGAGAAACTGCGGCGCGCGCCCCGCCGGGACGCTCCTCATTGGTCAGCCCCGCACGGCCCCGCCTCCTTTTTGGGTAGGGCGGGAGCAAGGAGGAGTCAGTGATAGGCGGGGCGTGGAGGAGGCGTGGCGGTGGGCGTGGCCGCATAATCTCCGTGGTATAAATAATGAGCTCGGGGAATCCGCGGGCGCGGCACCGGCAGCGCAGAAACGGGAGCGGCACCGGTACCGGCACCGGCTGGGGGACAGGTACCGGCATCCCGACACCAGCATCCCCCGTGCGAGGGCAGGGTGGGGCCGGCCGGGGGACCGATACCGGCATCTGGGAGGGGAGGGACCGGCCGGGGGACAGGGACCAGCATACCCATGGATGGGCAGGGACCGGCACCGGCATCCCGCGTAGGGGGGCAGGGACCGGCCGGGGGACCGATACCGGCATCCTGTGGGTGGGCAGGGACCGGCTGGGGAACAGGACCGGCATCCCCGTGGGTCGGCAGAGACAGGCACCGGCATCCCCGTGGGAGGGCAGGGACCTGCCTCACGATCGCGTCCCGTACCGGCACCCTCTGTGGGCGGACACCGGGAAGGCAGGGGCAGGTCCCGAGCCCTGCCCCGGTTTCCCGCACGCCTGCGGGGCTGCCGAGAAGCGCAGGGGGTTTGCGGGGTCGCACGGATGCGGGATGTCCCCATCTCGTGGTTCCCTGCGCCAGGAGCGAGCCCGGGATGGGCGGGCTGGAGCCGGGGGCTGCCGCTGCCCGCCCGGTGCAGGGGGCTCCTCGATGTTGTCCCGAGCTGTGACTCCCTCTCGGGGAGGGAGACGGAGCCCCGGCCTCCGGCAGCGATGGGAAGAAGCTTTCTAGAAAAAAGAAGTGTCCCATTTCTGTGGGATTTCTCGGGTTCTTCCCTTTTGGCATGACTCAGGGTGGGTGCTGGAGCCCCCAGAGAAGCTGCCCCCATTCCTCCAGGGACGAGCTGTGGCATGTCCTTTGGGGCATCCAGAGCTGTGCCCTCCGTGATGTTTTGGCTGGTGGTGTTGGTGCTCACCATCCCTAAAAACCAGGGGCTGTGCTCTGAGGAGCCAGGGCCATCTAGAAGGGATGGAATTGGTGACACTGAGCTGGTGGGAGCCCATGGCAAAGCAGGGACCATGGCTCTCGGGCTGTGCTGGGAGCATCCTTGTTTTCTCCCCAAAAATCTTCCAGTGGGGCAGTAAAGAACAAATAAACAAGGGAGAGGCACTCCTGTAAAATGTAGAGCCCAAAATGCCTGGGAAGTTGATTTGGGGGCTGCTGATCACTTCTGCCAGGCCACCAGCTCCTGTCATGGCGTGGAGGTGACAGGGAGGGTTGAACCTGGCACTTTGCTTCCAGCAGCTGTGTGTTCCTTATCCCTGTGAGGATTTGGGATGCCGTTTGGAGCTGGCAGCTGCTCCCCAAATAGTGCTTGGTGAGAGGAGCTGCTGCCCCCTCCGGGACAAATCCTTGTGCCAAGGCCAGCCAGGGACAGCTCTGGCACCCCAGCCTGGCCTGCCCAGTGTCACTTGCTCAGGTGACAGCACAGCTGGGGGCTTTAATCCCCATCCATCTGCTTCCTCTGTGATTTATCCTGCAGCAGAATAGGAATAAGCAGAGCACCGAGTCAGCCGCTTCTGGGAGCGGAACTTTGGTAGAGCTGGAGGAAGAATTTGTAGTAACTCAGAAGGAAATTGCCTTTTTTTTTTTTTTAATTTTAAAAGAAGAGTTTTTAGAAGAAGAGGATGGGGTGGGGGTGTGGGCTGGGGGTGTTTTAATCTCAGAATCACAGAACTGTGGCATCCCAGCAGGGTTTGGGCTGGAAAGGACTTTAAAGCGGGCAGACTTTGGCATGAGGGGCTTCCAAAAGCCGCAGGAGGTGCCGCTGCCAGCTGAGCGGGGGGCAGAGGGGCCAAGCACCCCAATGCCTGTGCCGGGATGGAGCCGCAGAGCTGAGAGGGCCCGTGGGTGTCCCGTCCCCGCAGGATGTGTGACAGGAACGGCGGGCGGCGGCTGCGGCAGTGGCTGATCGAGCAGATCGACAGCGAGCTCTACGCCGGCCTCATCTGGGAGAACGAGGAGAAATCCATGTTCCGCATCCCCTGGAAGCACGCCGGCAAGCAGGACTACAACCAGGAGGTGGACGCTTCTATTTTCAAGGTAGGGAATGCTTTTTCTTGCTGGTTCCTGGGCTCTGTGCTGCTGGTTTTGTGCCTTGGTGGGACGTGGCCACGCTGTCTCTGGGTTTTACATCTTTAACCCTTGCAGGAGATGCTGCAGTTGGTCTCCTGGGTTTTTTTTTTTTTTTTTTTTTTTTTTTTTTTTGGGATGATTTATTCCTTTTCATCAAAATTTACGACCAGTTTTAAGTCTGATTTCAGCATGTTTGAATCCATGTGTGACACAAGAAGCAGCTTTTGACCTGCTCTAAACTTCTCAGCAGCTTCTCTTGATAAAATGCTGGGTTTATATTAAAAAAAAAAAAAACAAACCTAAAAAGACTTTGTAGGTGGGAAGGAAGGATTTCACTGAAGCAGGGGGTTTCCAGTTTTGGAAAATATGGGAAAATTCCATCCAGAAGCAAAAAGTTCAGGTCTTTCCCAGGAATTCCCTTCCCTCTGACCCCACTTCCAAGTATCTGTACTGGTGAAGAAGTTCAATTTCAGTTTAATTTCAACTGGTTTGGGAGCACTGAGTTATGAGGATAGCCTTGAACTCAGCCCTCTGAAAATATAGAAATATCTATAAAAGAAATCAATATGAATTAAAAAAAATATGTAATGTTTTTCATTTTTCCTTCAATGGTAAAAATATGTTCTCCTACCAAAAGCACAAATTAAGTTCTGATCTTAGGGAAACCAGTTCATTTATTTGTCAGGAGCTGACAAATGAGGTTTATCCTGATTTTTAATTGAGCAGCGATTCCTCGTGCTCCCAGCAGCTCCTGACCCGCAGGTGCAGAAGTGAACCCACACGTGATTTTAACCTCTGCTTTTTGAAAAGCTGGGTTTTACGAGCCTTTTCTGCATTTCTGAGGCAGGCAGTGCTGCTCTGCACCCCAAACCCCCCCGGGTGTGCTGCAGGCTGTGCAGTCTAGGAGCGAAACAGCAAATCCCCAAGAGATGCTCGACAGGGTGCAAGATGCAAAATGCTCTCTGCAAGCCCAGCTCTTCCTCCCTGAGAGGCTTTGTAGGGCTCACAGGGAGGATTTTCATAGTTTTTTTTCTCATTCTTTGCTTTAGGCCTGGGCTGTTTTCAAAGGCAAGTTCAAGGAGGGCGACAAAGCCGAGCCGGCCACGTGGAAGACGCGGCTCCGCTGTGCCCTGAACAAGAGCCCTGACTTTGAGGAGGTGACAGACAGGTCCCAGCTGGACATCTCCGAGCCCTACAAGGTCTACAGGATCGTGCCAGAGGAGGAGCAGAAGTGTGAGTTCCCCAGGAGGGGACTGAGCCCTGCTGTGGGTGCATCCTGTGAGCACCTGAGCTCGGCTCCCTGCCAGCCCCTGCTCTTGTCCCGCTCTGCTGTGTCCCCCTGCCGTGACAGGGAGGGGAGGACAAAGGCCAGGCTTGGGTTTTTTTAACCCCTTAAACCCTTAGGAAATGTGGGACAGCTGCATCTTTGTGGGACCTCCCATCCCCTGAGGATGTTGTAGGGGCAGATTCCACCTTCCCTGCCTGGTGGAGGGACACGAGCCTCAAACTTTTTTTTCCTCCCAAGCCCTGCCCTATGAGGATGGTGGGGAGCTGCAATAAATCCCTTTTCTTGCTGGAGGAGCAACGATTTTGCAGACAGCTGCTCTGATGTCCGGTGTGGCTCAGCTCACACTAACTATAACTCTATTTGTGGTTAGGGGAGCCTGTGTGCTTTGTCCTTTAAGTTAAAAACTTGCAAAAAAAACCCCCATGATTTTGCAGTCAGGAAATCTCCCTTTAGCATGTCTGTCCCCTCCAGCCCGTTCACACAGGGGCTGTGCTGCCACTATGCAAATGGCACTGCAGGTTCCCACCAGCAGCACCCCTGCACTGGGGTGGCTGGTGGAAAAAAGAGAAGCAGCAGCCCCAGCCCCAGTCTCTGGGGTGCTCAAAAAAAACCAAAACCCTCTGCCCTGCTCCAGCTCTGTCTCTGTCACCAGCCAGGCTTTTGATTTTTCTTGCTGCTGGTCCCTGTGCAGGGGGGAAATGAGTTGTAAAGCGATTTTTTTGGCCCCAAAAAGCAGCTCTGGAGGGGCTGTGAGCCTGCCCACACGGCTCTGCTGTGGTTCCTGCTCTCATCACTTTCACCGGGTGAAAGGTTCCCAAAACCCCTCAAGATGAGCTGTGCCTGGCCAGTGTGGGTGTTCTCACTGCAGCCCCACCTCTCCTTCCAGGCAAAGCAGGGGTGGCCAGCGGGAGCAGCCTGAATGATGTCACCGAGATGGACTGCAGCTCCTCTGCCATCGACGAGCTCATCAAGGAGGTGAGGCCTCACCCTGGCTGCAGGTGCAGGGCTTGGGTCAAGCTGTCCGGCTTGGGAAAGCCCTGCCCTCCCCGAATTCCCTCTGCAGAGCGGCAGGGTTGGCTTTGCAGCTCCTTCACACGGTTCTGATGTGGGCTCCTGCTTTCCTTGTGCGTCCAGCTGGGAGAGACCTTCACTGGGGAGGAGTCTGCCACAGCTCTGGGCCCCTCCTTGGCCTTGTCACACCTCTCTGTAGCTCTTGAGGGTCTTGTTCAGATGTACAACCTGGGCAATGCCAGATTTGATCTTTCCAACCCCCAAAAATTGGCTGGTGCTGCCATTTGGGCCCTCCCTGAGCGTTTCAGGTGCCTTGCTGGAGGCACCAAACCCGCTCTGATCCCGGTGTCTGCTGTCCCACAGCCCTCCTGTGTGGATGAGTACCTGGGCATCATCAAGAGGAGCCCCTCACCCCCCCAGGAGACCTGCAGGAACCCCCCAATACCCGACTGGTGGGTGCAGCAGCCCAGCCCTGGTAAGCAGCCAACAGCTGGTGTGGTGTTCGGGAGATTTTTGGGGCAGGAAAAATCTTCCTGTGTGGGGATACACAACGGAGAGCAGTTTATTTTATCTTCCTTATTAAGAGTGTTTGAAGTACTCATTAAGAAATCCAGCTGGGAGCTTTTTGCTGGCATTTCCCATGTGGGAGCTGGGAAACCTGGGGCAGAAAATGAGGGGGAACTGAGGGATTGGGATTTGGGATTTGGGAATGCAGGCTCAGCTTGGCTTTCTGTGCCCACAGCGTTGCCCCTGATGAATGGATACTCCAGCTATGAGCAGTATCACTCAGGTAAGGCACCTCACCTGGCCAGCAGGTGCCCCTCTCTGTTCGTGGTGGCAGGAGGTGGCTCTGACTCTGTCCCCCACCTTCAGAGAGGCTTTGCTTTGGGTTTGGGAGGTGATTATCCACATTTCCACGCTGGGGTGAATCCTGCCTGGTGGCGTGGGGGCAGAGAGCAGCTGCTTGGGGTGCTGGGGCCAGGCAGCCTTTGGAATGGGGGGATCTGCCCGTGGCATGGGGAGAGTGAGGAGCAAAGGCAGGAGGAAGAGGCTCAATGCATTTCATGGCCTTGAACTGAACCACCAGAAGTTCCACCTCAACATGAGGAAAAACTTCCCATGGAGGGTGTCAGTGTTGGAACAGCTGCCCAGGGAGCTGTGGAATTTCCCTTTCTGGAGACCTTCAGAGAGGAATTCATGGAACAAACCCCACCTGGATTTGTTCCTGTGTCACCTGCTCCAGGTGACCCTGCCTGGGCAGGGGCCTGGACTGGGTGGTCCAGAGGTCCCTTCCAACACCAGCCACTCCATGATCCTCTAATACTGGGAGCTCTCACTTGCTGGTCAGCCCTGGAGATGTCTCTCCACCAGGAGACAGCCACTCCCAGGAGATTTGGGGTTTGGGCATGGCAGCGAGGAGCAGCTTTGTCCCTTCCTGATGAGACGCGCGCGTCCCTCGCCTGCCAGGTTATTCCCAGATGGTGATCAGCTTCTACTACAGCGGGAGGCTGGTGGGCCACGTCAGCACCTCGTGCTCTGAGGGCTGCAGGATCTCCCTGGGGCAGCCCTCGGGCCACGGGGAGAAGCTCTACGCCCCCGATGCCCTGGAGCACGTCCGGTTCCCCTCGGCCGACGCCATCCAGAACGACCGCCAGAAGCAGATCACCAGGAAGCTCTTTGGGCACCTGGAGAGGGGTGTCCTCCTGCACAGCAACAAGCAGGGCATCTTCATCAAGAGGCTGTGCCAGGGCAGGGTCTTCTGGAGTGGCAACACCATGGCCTACAAGGACAGGCCCAACAAACTGGACCGGGAGGACGTGGTGAAGATCTTTGACACCAACTTGTTCTTCCGAGGTTTGTGGGAGCCTCCTGCTGGTTTTGGTGTTAGGATTTCTGCTCTTTCCTGTGGGGAACGAATCCCTGCATTGGTTGGTTTAGGATGGTCAGCCAGCAGATGTGGTGGGCAACCCTGGGTGGCAGCAGTTTGGGGTGGGGGAACCTTCAGGGGAGAGTGGAGGAGAACAGGGATATGACTCTGGCCAGAAACTCCCTGGAACAGCTGAGGTAATTCTGGGATCCCAAAGCCTTGGGACGATGCACAAATGGTTTGTGGAGCTTGACCTGGCATGAGACCCCCTTGGGCCCTGTGGTGGGGTTGAAAGGGTGGAGCCCTTTTTCCTTGCACACTTTGAATCCCTCACTGCTGGGTTCCCAAGGATGAGCAGGTGACACTGCCACACCGATGGAAGGATAATCTGGTGTTTGGGGTCCTGTGGCAAATTCCAAACTGGAGCCTTTGCTTGAGCCCACAGCTTCCTTGCGGGGTGTTTGATCCCAGGGATGTGTCACAAAGCCTCTGGAGGGCAAATCCCAAGTTTTCCTGTGTCCTTGCAGAGCTGCAGCAGTACTACAACAACCAGGGCCGCTTCCCAGACAGCAGGGTCATGCTGTGCTTCGGGGAGGAGTTCCCAGATGCCGTGCCCCTGAGGTGTAAACTCATCCTTGTCCAGGTACGGGGGGCTGGGAGGAAAAGGGACCCAGGCAAGGTGGGAATTCTGCCAGCAGAGCTCCACCCCTGCAGCCACGGGGCATTTGGGTGGATTGGGGTGGAAGTGTGGTGCTTTCCCAGAGCCTCCTGAGAGGTGCTTGGGCTGCTGGCTATCAAATTCCTGCAGCTGGGTTTGCAAATGAAGCTCCCTAGTGGCACAAGTTTTGTGAACTGCAGGGAAATCTTTCCTCTTCCTCCTGATCCTGCTTTGGCACTGGGACTTTTCCTGTGGGAAATGGGGAAGTAAATGCCTGGACTGATTTAAGATCAGTCAGTGATATGCTCAACAGCTGTGATTGGCAGCAGGGGGGTTGGGAAACCTTAGGAGGGTGAAGAAGGGGATGGGATGTGGGGTCAGCCCTCGTGGCTCTGGTCAGAAACTTCCCCTTGGAGAAGCTGCAGCAGTTGTAGGGTTGAAAAGGCTCAGGACAGCGGGTTTCTGTCCTGAAACCCAGGCCCAGCCAGGCTGTGACAGCAGGGATGTGACAGGGAGGGCACAGGGAGGGTGTGGCATCCCCTCTTGAGCAAGCAGAGACCCACCAGGTCTGTGGGGCCCTGGGGGGATTTTACAAGATCAGAGACTGGTCCTGTGCCTCCTGCACCGCTCCTGACCTCGTCACCTCTTGCTGTCCTGGATGTCTGCCCCAGGGGATCACTCTGGACATCCCCAGCCTGTCCTTGCACCTCAGTATCCCTGCTGGCAGAGCTCCTGGGGCTGCTCCTTTATCCCTGGAGCCAGCACTGCTGTCCTGGCAGGAGCTGTGCTCTGCTGTGTGTCCCCCATGCAAGGAGCAGCAGGAGATGCCCCAAGAGGACGCTCCCCACTCAATCCCTGCCCTTTTTCCTTTGTCCCAGGTGGAGCAGCTGTACCTGAGGCAGGTGGTGGACGAGGCTGGGAAGAGCTGCAGCTCCAGCCCCATGCTGCCCATGGCAGAGGAGCCCCAGCACGACCAGGGCTACCGGATCTTCCAGGACATCTGCACCACGCGGCCGCTCTTCCGAGAGAACCAGCAGATTGCAGTCTGAGCCTGCTGGGCTGGCCTCATCCACAGCCACGTCAGTCCCACCTAAGTGCCTAAGTGTACTAAAAAAGTGACTCTAAAAAAGTGTCCTTATTTTTTTTCCTTATTTTTTTACCTTATTTTTTTCCTTAATTTTTTTCCTTTTTTTTTCCTTATTTTTTTCCTTATTTATTTTTTTACCTTATTTTTTTCCTTAATTTTTTTTCCCTTTTTTTTCCCTTATTTTTTCCCATTTTTTTCCCATTTTTTTTCTTTTTAAAATTTTCTTTGCTGTTTCCAGTCCAGGGTCTGTATAAATCCAGTGGTGAAAACGTGCCGTGAGCAAACAGCTTGGATGTTCAGTGTTTGTCCTGTCAACAATTTATGATAAAAGTGACTTTTCTAGCCCCAGGACTGTCTGTAGCACATGGCTGGGGCACGAGGGAGCATCCAAGCTGTGCAGGAAGGTCAAGGCTGGCTTTGCTTTTTGTTGCCTTTGTTAATGGCCATTCAGGCAGAACCAAAAACCAACAGCTGTAACCACCTGCCCCAACAACCTGCAACTCAGACCTTGCTGAGAGCAGCAATTCGATAGGAGGTGACTCTTGGAAAAGCCTTAGAATGCTCAAATTTAGGAAATGATATCCAGGAATCAGCTCTCCCCCTTCAAAGAGTCCTGCTGGTGACTCCTAAGCACTCCTGGGTGTGCCTCCCAAAGGGAACTCCTGAAATTCCTCTTTATTTTTTGCTGTGAGATTTATGTGTTTCTTTTTCACGCCAAAGTGGATTAGAATTTGGCAAGCCATGCAGAGATTCTATATGTAAATATTGAACATGAAGACTTGGGAATCTTAATTTTTCCTGACCAGAGCCAGAGTTTATATAAATATATAGAGTTTTAATTTTTCAAGATTGCAGCGTAGTGTGAATAGCTTGGCTTCACCCTCCCAAACACACGTGTGGGGCTCTCCCAAGCGTGTCCAGGCAGCGCCATCCATGTGGAAATCCTCATTTTCACAGCCTCTGTGTGTGCCCCCAGCTCTGGGGAGCTGCTGGTGCCTCCCAAAGAAGGACTGCACATGTGTGCGTGCCACCAAAGCTGCCTATTTATTGTATGCCTGAGGTTTATTAATTTTTTGGGGTAAATTTTTATATCTCCCTGCAATTAAAGTGCTATATTTTGTATTTCTCTTGCGATGTGGTTTTTGGGTGCAGTGGGTGGGGTCTCAGAGCTGCTGGGGGGAGTCTGGGATCTCTGACTTGCCCCTGATTTGGTTTTACCTGTGGTGGGGTCTGTGTTAAGGCTGTGTCACCTCCTCCCTCTTCCTGGATTCATCTCCAGGCAGAAAGAAATGAGTCAAAATGCTGTAATGCAATGGAGGGAGGGAAATGTGATCACTTGGAGAGCCTTCATTCCAGGGAGGAGGAAGATGTGTCCCTGCTCATCTGCCACAGCACTGAGCTGGGTGTGACGCTTCAAGGTCACGAGGTGGGGACAATTTTTTATGGTTGTGTCCAAAAACTTCCTCTTTTCCCTTTCCCATGGGAAATGGGAGCGTTTCCCCACTGTCCTGTGGTGGTGTAATCCCAGTTGACAGGCAGGTGCCTCCCTCATTCCCTGGTACCCCTTCAGAGGGGAGGGGAATTGGAAAGAAAAGCCTTGTGGATTGAGAACAATTTAATATTCGGAAGAAATTCTTTACTTTGGGGAAGAATTCTTCCCTGTGAGGGAGGTGAGGCCCTGGCACAGGGTGCCCAGAAAAGCTGTGGCTGCCCCTGCATCCCTGGAAATACTCAAGGCAAGGTTTGGTGGTGCTTGGAGCAATCTGGGACAGTGGAAGATGTCCTGCCCATGGCAGGGGGTGGAATGAGTTGAATTTTAAGGTCCCTTCCAACACAAACCATTCAGGGATTCTAATTACAAAAATATCAAGTATAGTAATTGAAATGAAAGGCAGAGAAGAGTAAAAGTGAAGGGAAGCAGGTGATGCAATTGCTCATCCCTACTGAGAAGAAAATGAGCACCATCCCAGCAGAAACCAGGACACTTCTCTGTTGTATTGCACTGAATAGTTATTTAGTTGTTTTAAGTAACTATTTAGTGCAATAAAACACTTCTCCATCCAAATTTCTCAGGTTCCACTCTAGGGGGGTGCCCTGAGGTGGGAGAACCAGCTTGAACTTTGAGATCAAACATGAGGATTGAGGGAATTCCTCCATCCTTGCCCCAGCCCTGTTGGTGGGATGCTCGTGGTCCTGCCTGTGCCCTTGTGCACCTCCTCTGCAGGCATTGCAGCATCTGCATTTGGTGCCTGTGAGAAGAACTGGCTGCACACCGAGGTGTTTTAGGATGCACCAGGATCCTAAAGGGCAAAGGAGACCCCAACTCCTGTAAGCTGCTATGGGGTGCTGTGCCACTGGGGTGGGGATGGTACCTGTAGGGGCACAGTGAGCACTGCTCAGCCTTTCTCTGCTCTTCCTGAGCATCCCACGGGCTTGACTCCTGCTCCAGCCCTCGCTGCTCCCCCAGAGGGTCAGGGAGCCTCACCTCCTGGGATGCCTTGGGAAGGCTGAGCTAGAGCAGAGGCTGGACAGAGCTAAGGAATAAAGCAGGGATTTATTCAAAGGATCTCCTCAATGGATCCACCTTGGGCAGCACAAGAGCCCAGCCAGGGCTGCACCCAGGATGAACCAAAGTGGTCCCAAAATGAGCCCAAGAAAGGATCTCCTCCATGGCTCCACCTTGGGCAGCACAAGAGCCCAGCCAGGGCTGCACCCAGGATGAACCCAAATGGTCCCAAAATGCACGAGCGCTCCCGGGGTCTCTCCCTGGGATCAGCTCTGCTCCATGTGCACATTGCAGTTCAGTGTCCAATTCCAGCTCAGCCCCTGCACTCCCATCCTGCTTGTTTTTCTCTCTCCAGCCCACGGGGTTTGTGCTCTTGGGCTGAGATTTGGATCATTTGTCCTTGGTGCCCAGCTGGAGCAGGAATTGTTTTGTGTCCCTGCTCTGTGCACAGAGCTCACCATCCCCTGATGTGAAGCTCAGACCTGCACACTAAAGCAGCACAGAATGTGAAAAATATAAGATAAAAAGCCTGAGGCACCAGGCATGGGCTCCCAAAAAGAGTCCTTGGTGTTGAACATTGCAGGGTGGAGGTGGGACCGAGGCACCCTCTGTGGGCTGTGCTGGAGCAGCTCATGATGGATCGGAGCCTGGGACACCAGAAACCCCACTCGTGGTTTCCCCAGAGGTGCAGGGCCACGTCCTTCCCCAGAAACCACCACCTTGTGCCTGCCTGGAGCCACCTGCTCCTGCCCAGGGCTCTTTCAATTTCCACCCCAGACCGCGGCAGGGCCGTGGGGAGCTGAGGTCCCTTGTGCTGCACTGGTTATTTTTGGTGCTGTCAGCGTGTCTCAGAGCCCACAGCTCGGTTTGGGACCTTCACCAGCACCATGGCTTCCATCCCACAGCGATTCCACAAGGAGATGCCTGGTGGGTGGGGAGGGAGTGGGAAGGAGCCAGTGGATGCAGGAAGGGTAACGGGGTGGGCACATGGTTGTGGGCAGGGGTCCTGTTTGAGCTCAGCTAGGGCTCACAGAAATGTTAGCTTAGGTTTAATGCCTGGGTTTATCTTGGGTTTAGGCCTAGCCTGGGTTTCCCATCCTGCAATCCATCATGAGGAAGCCTCCAAGGCTGACGTTCCAGCACAGATTTCCAGGTCAGTGCATTGATTTCACACAGGGGTGCTCTGGCCCAGAGTCACCGTGCCTTTTGTGACATTCCAGAAGGAATTCCTGCACGTCTCTCACTTTTCCTGCGGGCCAGGCAGGAATGGCACTGCCATCCCCAGCTGGGAGGATGGTGGGGTCTGGAAAAGCTCCAATCCAGAGGCAGTGCCTGCATCCTGGCACCCATCCCTGCACCTTTCTGGGCCCTGGGCAGCTCCAGGGAGCTGCTGCTGCAGCTGTGCCCTGCCTTGGTGGTTTTGGGCGACTGGTGACTCAAATACTTTCGTTGGTTTCTGTTCACTTGGGTTCCTCTCTGTCACCTCCCCGAAGTGAAACCTCAGTGCCAGGGTTGGCTCCTCTCTGCCAGCGCCTTGTCTGCTGGCAAGTCCCAAAAGTGGCCCAAGGTTTTGGCTGAGGACCCTGTCCCCAAACCCTGGGAGTGATCTGTCCCCTGCGTCCCCTTCACAGAGTGATCCTCCTGGTGCAGCAGGATAATGGAGCACAAATGAGATACTCGCACTGCCCTTCCCCAAAATTCTTGCTGCTTTTTTTGGTGGTTTCCCACACTTGGAGTCAGAGCAGCAGCGCCATCAAATTCCTTCTTGATGTCAAGGTATCTCCTAGTGTCCCAGGAAGGCCTGTGGGAATGGGAAGAGAATTTCTGGGGGTTACCAGGCTGAACTCCTGCCTTCAGGAGCAAAAGGTTCCACATGGGAAGGAGAGTGGAGCTTGGTTTCCATGAAGGAAACCTTAACTTGCAGGACATACAGAGTTCCCTCAAGAATATTTGGCAAGGAGCCATGTGCTTACCAAATCCTCCTGACATCTGGCAGGGAAGGGTGGACCAGGGCAAGAAATCTGGGGAAATTTTCTAAGATTTTCCAGCCTAAAGATGTCTACTCCGTGGTAGAGGAACATTTTGATTTCTGGGTGCTGCAAAGGATGTGATCCACACTGCAGCCCCTTGATGTTTTGTTCACTGACTCAGGGATGTAATTTGGGGTCCAAAGCCAACCTTTCTCCTGAGATTTGTGGCTGGAAGGCAGGTGGACCTCTGGGAAGCATTTTCCTTGGGAGAAAGTGAGCTGGGTTATATCCTGGGTTGTATTGATCTTGTTCATCACGTGTTTCTGGAGTTTGGTGAGGGGCATGCAGGACAAACGCCAAAAACACCACGGAAGGTGGCTTCAGGAGAAGAATTCAGCAACCATGAGGACAACAAGTGTCTACCCACCCCTCCCACATGCCTAAAACCCAGTGTGAGGAGTTACCCAGTGCCAAATTCGTGTAAAGAGCAAGTTTGGTGGACTGGCGAGGAGAAAGGCAAGGTTTGTCCAGCTAAATCCTGAGATTTAC